TTCTGTCGTCTGGATTCTGTTGTCTGAATGTCTGATATCTGGATATCTGTCGTCTTGATATCTGGATATCTGTTGTCTGAATGTCTGATATCTGGATATCTGGATATCTGGATATCTGTTGTCTGAATGTCTGATATCTGGATATCTGTTGTCTGAATGTCTGATATCTGGATATCTGTTGTCTGAATGTCTGATATCTGGATATCTGTTGTCTGAATGTCTGATATCTGGATATCTGTTGTCTGAATGTCTGATATCTGGATATCTGTTGTCTGAATGTCTGATATCTGGATATCTGTTGTCTGAATGTCTGATATCTGGATATCTGTTGTCTGAATGTCTGATATCTGGATATCTGTTGTCTGAATGTCTGATATCTGGATATCTGTTGTCTGATATCTGGATATCTGGATGTCTGAATGTCTGATATCTGGATATCTGTTGTCTGAATGTCTGATATCTGGATATCTGTTGTCTGAATGTCTGATATCTGGATATCTGTTGTCTGAATGTCTGATATCTGGATATCTGTTGTCTGAATGTCTGATATCTGGATATCTGTTGTCTGAATGTCTGATATCTGGATATCTGTTGTCTGAATTTCTGATATCTGGATATCTGTTGTCTGAATATCTGATATCTGGATATCTGTTGTCTGAATGTCTGATATCTGGATATCTGTTGTCTGAATATCTGATATCTGGATATCTGTTGTCTGAATGTCTGATATGTGGATATCTGTTGTCTGCATTACAAGTACCCCATGTACACCTGAATACCATTTTATCAGATACACGAATCATTATAAATTATATTTCATTTATGACACACACCCTTTGTTGTTTGTGGGTAAAACATAGCGTAAAACATGGCGGCTCTTTTTTAAGAGAATTTGGTCAATATCCAGCTGTCAATCATTCTCTCAGATCTGTGAATTCCCCTTTTTTTCATAAAAGAAATATAACTTTGCCCTTTGTTTGATGAAAGTAAGAAAGGGGGCGGAGGGGGGGGAAGCACCTAGAGAAGGAAAATATAATTGCATACTTAATTTCCCTCAAAAGTTTGAATTTGAAAAAAGAAATTTAGCTAATGTTATTGTTCAGGCAAAAACACCTAATGATATGGTTTCAATCATTAACCTCATCAGTAGCAGAACAATATATGTTAAACTTCACATCATTAGTAAAATATTATAGAAAAATTTTATCATTTCATTACCTCAACAGGGGTTGAAAAACGACAGCCCTCTTGAAGATTCGTCAAATTCGATGACATCTGCTTTAACCAATCAAATTTCTACCCTCTCCAGCACTGGCATTTTGTGACACAGTGTTTATCAGGTTAGGTCAAAAGATTAGTTTGCAAACCGTTGTGAGTCACTTAATGAAGTGGCTATATTAAAAATAACAGCTAATGAAAAAAAAACTAAAACAAAAGTTACTGAAGAATCTTTCATTTTATTTCAGTTAAACACGCAACATCAAGATCTACTAGAACAGAATTTAATATTGAAAGAGCAGTTAAAACATTACGAATTAAAATGTACAGATGAGAATTTAAAACAACAACGAAGGTTTATGCAGGAGTTAGGATTGTGTTTCTCCGAGTTACAGTCCATAGTTCACGTCTGTACCCAGAGAGCAAAGGGAGAAGACCCCAATTTGGCAATATTACTTGGAGTCAAAAGTAAGTTCTCTTTATTATCATTCTTTATATAGAAATTCTTTAAGAGAAGAATTGGGGTACGTTTGGTGTATTCTGCATCAACAGTATTAATAAAACAAGTTGAAACAGAATTAAGAATGTTCCATGTGTGCAGATAAAATTTGAAATGGCATCAGACCACCCTAGAAAAACTGTAGAAAATTATACCCCCACTTTCAAATATGTCTCAGAATGCACCAAATCAATCTATGTTTCAAAAATGTTCTTAGTAGAACTCTCTCAGATGCTCCATTATCTAGAGGCTTTGGACTAAATGTCTCTACAGAGTTAACGAATTTTGAATTCAGGTTGGACAGTTGTCCCCCATCAATCAATCTATTTGTATTTGTCTGTTTGTACCCTCAGTCCTGGGAGGCTGGAGTAGCCACCGAGAGTCAGTCCCAAACCTCATCAAATGATTTAACTATTTTTTTGATTTTGTATTAACAGAAAGCGTAGATGATGAAGCCAGTGGAATGACAGATGATGATCTGGAGAAAGAAACTATCTCACAATGGACGTCAAAATTAAAAGAGATTCGAGTGGAGGTTGATAGGTTACGTGTATTTCTGACTAATAAGTACGCGGAAGATATGGCGGGGGATAATAACTGTACAACACAATAATCATCAGACAACATCACAATCATAACGAGGCTACATCTTACTCTGGCCACATATTCTCAAAATGATCTTAGAGCTAGTATATCCTAGTGTTAGAAGATAAGAACCTAGGAAATCCTACAAATAATGTTAGAAGATAAGAACCTAGTATATGCTAGAAACAGTGTTAGAATATAAGACCCTAGGATATCCTAGAATCAATGTTAGAATATAATACCCTAGGATAATCTAGAAACAATGTTTGAAGATAAGAACCTAGGATATCCTAGAATCAATGTTAGAATATAAGACCCTAGGATAATCTAGAAACAATGTTAGAATATAAGACCCTAGGATATCCTAGAAACAGTGTTAGAAGATAAGAACCTAGGATAATCTAGAAACAATGTTTGAAGATAAGAACCTAGGATATCCTAGATACAGTGTTAGAAGATAAGAACCTAGGATAATCTAGAAACAATGTTTGAAGATAAGACCCTAGGATATCCTAGAATCAATGTTAGAATATAAGACCCTAGGATATCCTGGAAACAATGTTAGAAGATAAGAACCTAGGATATCCTAGAAACAATGTTAGATGATAAGAACCTAGGATAATCTAGAAACAATGTTTGAAGATAAGAACCTAGGATATCCTAGATACAGTGTTAGAAGTTAAGACCCTAGGATATCCTAGAATCAATGTTAGAATATAAGACCCTAGGATATCCTGGAAACAATGTTAGAAGATAAGAACCTAGGATATCCTAGAAACAATGTTAGAAGATAAGACCCTAGGATATCCTAGCAACATTGTTAGAAGATAAGAACCTAGAATATCCTAGAAACAGTGTTAGATGATAAAAAACCTAGGATGTCCTAGCGCTAAAATTGATTCGAGAATATGCCACCAGTATCGCCAATCTAGTCCACTGTTTTATTTCACAAGATGTGATTATTAAACTTGATTGTTATCTTTGGATTTTGGATTCGTATAATAGCATTGCTACTCAAAGATCAAATCAACATTGCTTGAGGAAGAGTGTATCAGAAAAACACCTGATTATTATTTTTTTTACTAAGTGTAATATTATTGTAGTTTTATTAATGAAAAGAGAATTGTTCTATCATATACAAACCATTGGAATATTATTCAGTTAGTTTCTAACAACCAGCTAGTGAAACAGGTTTCAAGATTTAAAATATGAGACTTGGAGAAAAATGAAGACCAAAGATCAAAATAACCGATTACCTCCGCCTATTGTTACCATACCAACCTGACCTAGTTACCAGAATCAGGACAGGAAGTTAGTTTGACTACCATCAGTGCCATGTTACAGATACCAAACTCTTCTAGATTGGAACCGCACGTAAACAAAATAAAACGAAAGTAGTGTCTCAATATTTATTTAGCAGTTTGTATTGAAATAGATAGAATATTGTTGATAGGTCTGGTATTACTAGACAAATCTCCGATTATATATCTTCACGATGTCAAGCTATTAACAACTTTGTCTAAACCAAAACATCATTAGAAACATTTTTTGTTTGTAAATGCAGCAATTTGATTGGATTGTACGCTAGCAAATACAGCCAATCAGAACAATGTTAACAGTCTTCTATCATAGGATACATACATTGTAGTCAAGGTATAAGATGTAGATTGTAATAGCTTGACATTGTGAAAAACTATAATAAAACTGGATTGAAAGTTGATTTTTTATCATCTTAGTTCTGAGTTTGTAAGAACGACACAGTTTTCTATGGTCTTCATACAATTAAATAAGATGAAACCTTTTAACAATGGTCTTAATCAACCATCTGATGTGATGCAACTACGTAAAACTTGTATAGATTATAAATCAAGGTGAAATATAGAATTTACTATCATGAGATTGTTGAAGAAGAAAGATCTAATTATGTATTATATATATATATATATATATATTCTGTGATGAACCAATTCAGTATTATATTAAATATTACAACATTGTACTACATTATTTATACATATAATACTATTACTCTCTAATAGGGGCCGTATGCAGCGCTCTTACTTTGACTACAGTTGAACTTTACAAAGTTAGGATTAAGGCTTTCATTTTCTACATTTGATAGTCAAATTTAAGCACGACTTTCATAAAGATCAACTGGTGCATACTTAAAGTTCGACTTAAGTCTAACTTTAGTCAAAGTTTAGGTAAAGTACGAGCGCTGTATATGGTCCTTAGAATTTAATCTCATTTCTTCCTTTGTTTTTATTATATTATTAGGTTACGTTGTAATCATAATAGTTTTCTACCACATTTCAGTTCTAATGAAGCTATTCTAAACCAATCAAAGTGTGTCATATAGAAACAGTTTTTTTTTTATTATGTAACAAATTATGGGATAGAAAATTCAGAGTAGAGAAATCAATATGACAGCCTCTTCATGTTTTACTATTCCCCTAAAGAACAAAGAAACAGGTTTAACAAGACATGCTTTTATTGGTTTGAAATACTCTCATTTGAACATGACTGTGATAGAAAACTTGTTAGATTGCAGTAGAGATAAAAAACATGACAAAACAAAAAGAAAAGAAAGAAAAGAAATTGTGTAGTAATATTAATTAGATTGGTATTTTATTTCCTATTAAACTGTTTTTATTTTACTATTGGACCTAATTCTGTCTCATTATATACCACCGTCAAGAACTTACTGTATTGAGTTTTTTTATAATATATTTAGAATTAGTATTAATCCAGAATGTGATACAAATTTATTTTATAGACCAGCTAGTGCCATTAGAATTATCACTCCATTTACTGTAGATTCTTATAGTTTCTGAGGCTTTTATTTGGAATGTAGGATTTAAAACAAAGAAATAAGCTTATACTTAAAGATATACTACCTCTTAGGATGACTAAAAAATTCAAATTTTTAAACTTGGTTAGAATGAATCTTTATTCATCAGTTGACTTACCTAATATCAAAACTATATGACAGAATCTCTCTATAATCTAATACATCAATTAAACTAAGTAATAATTCATTAAACTAAGTAATAATTCATTAAACTAAGTAATTTTGAAACATGCTTATTTAGTTTAATAGATTTATTGTGTTATATAGAGATTCTATTGTTTAGTCATGGTACCTGGTAAGTCTAACTGATGAATATATACTCTTATTGACTAAGTTTAAGATTTTAAATTTGATGTCCATTCTAAGAGGTAATATTGATGTTTAAGTGACAAAAAGAATAAATGATGAAGTTTATAGAGTATAGAGTATATATTGTAAATCTAGTATTATTTTTATTTATTTACGAATGAAGCATAATATTATATATTCTATAGTTTTTCTTTATTGTATTTTTTTCTCTCAACTAATCGAGTCCCACTCAATTTAAATTGAAACAACGTGGCAGTTTTACAACTTTGACTAATTAAAATCAAAATACATCACTGCCCTGATGGTGTAATATTATTATATTAAATTATACTGTAGACTGTTTGATATTATCAGTATATCTTTAGATTTTAGTAATGAAGAAGTTTATAGAAACTCATATATAAATAATGTCAAGCTATTACATTGCGGCTATTGCAGTCAATTTATAAGTACAATATTGTAATAGCTTGACATTGTAGAGATGAAGTTTGTAATAGCTTGACACTGTGAAGATGAAGTATGTAATAGCTTGACATTGTAGAGATGAAGTTTGTAATAGCTTGACATTGTGAAGATGAAGTTTGTAATAGCTTGACATTGTGAAGATGAAGTTTGTAATAGCTTGATATTGAGAAGATGAAGTTGGTAATAGCTTGACATTGTGTCGATGAAGTTTGTAATAGCTTGACATTGTGAAGATGAAGTTTGTAATAGCTTGACATTGTGAAGATGAAGTTTGTAATAGCTTGACATTGTGAAGATGAAGTTTGTAATAGCTTGACATTGTGAAGATGAAGTTTGTAATAGCTTGACATTGTGAAGATGAAGTTTGTAATAGCTTGACATTGTGAAGATGAAGTTTGTAATAGCTTGATATTGAGAAGATGAAGTTGGTAATAGCTTGACATTGTGTAGATGAAGTTTGTAATAGCTTGACATTGTGAAGATGAAGTTTGTAATAGCTTGACATTGTGAAGATGAAGTTTGTAATAGATTGACATTGTGAAGATGAAGTTTGTAATAGCTTGACATTGTGAAAATGAAGTTTGTAATAGCTTGACATTGTGAAAATGAAGTTTGTAATAGCTTGACATTGTGAAGATGAAGTTTGTAATAGCTTGACATTGTGAAGATGAAGTTTGTAATAGCTTGATAGTGAGAAGATGAAGTTGGTAATAGCTTGACATTGTGTAGATGAAGTTTGTAATAGCTTGACATTGTGAAGATGAAGTTTGTAATATCTTGACATTGTGAAGATGAAGTTTGTAATAGCTTGACATTGTGAAGATGAAGTTTGTA